GAAATCAGGGTCGACTTGGGAGTAAAGCCACAGGTGGACAGTGAATGGCCCCTCCCATAGGGAAATAAAAGAGGAGTGAGCGGGCTTTTTCAGGAAACAATTTGTTCACTCATTCGTTTCAGGAGTGTGAAGATCTGTCCGTGAACCTCAGAGACTGTGTGCCAAGCACCTCATTTGAGAAATATTTACACGGCAGCTTTTCAAGCTAGAAAAGGTCTGTGGTCATAAATTCACCTTTGATTGTTTACCAGGCCTTTGCTGAATGTGAAGGAATGGAATTCATATTTGTTAAAATGAGTTTTTGTCGGGACCAAGAATCTGCTTTGTGCTTTTTGGGGAAGCCTAGGGTCAGAACAGCTACAGCCTTGGGAGTCTATTACATTAAGTGAGGCTTAGGAGAGACAAAGAGGTCTCTCCAGGGAATCTGGTGGCACAAGAAATAGGACTTGGCAATGGAAGTAGCACCAGAATACAAATGAGGAAGCTGGTGGAGAAAGGCCTTCCATCAAGAGAAGGAAAGGCCCAGAGAAATTCAAGCAAGGCCCACCTTTCAGAATCCATGTGACAGTGGCAGCTGCGACGGTGGAGGTCTCATCCCCGACCCCCACCCCCTTCAGCACTGCCTGGGTGGCCAGTGTCCCTGTGATGCTGCTTGCGAAAGCCTGCAGGTTGATGGGGGGGATGAGGAAGAGAGAAAGGGCAACAGTTGGAATAAGATAAGGAATCCTCTAGGTCCAGTTCCATCACCATAAGAGTTGAAAGGGATCTTCTAGTCCAATCCACTGCTCAAGCAGGAGACCCTCTACCAAATATGGCTAACCTTTTTGTTGTCATGTGCCGAAAGTGGACATGCGTGTGTGAGAGCACATGCATGTGTACTGGGGGGGGGCATGCTGCCCCCCTGCGCTCTCCCCTCACCCCCTGTGCATGTGTGTATGTCTCCTACTTGTGCCCCCCTCTCCCCCTCCAGAAACACCAAAATTAGCTGCCCAGCGGGAGGCAGTGCGCATGTCCAGTATTGAAGCATTCACAACTTCTGGAGGCAAGTTGTTCCACTGATTAATTGTTCCAACTGTCAGNAAGGATACTGCAAAGTCCCCATTCCCTCCCCATTCCAGGGGAAGGATACTGTAAAATCTCCCTTCCCATCCCACTCCAGGGGAAGGATACTGCAAAATCTCCATTCTCTCCCCACTCCAGGGGAAGGATACTGCAAAATCTCCATTCCCATCCCACTCCAGGGGAAGGATACTGCAAAATCCCCATTCACTCTCCACTCCAGGGGAAGGATACTGCAAAAATCTCCATTCTCACCCCACTCTGGGGCCAGCCAGAGGTGGTATATGCCAGTTCTTCGAACTACTCAAAATTTCCACTACCGGTTCTCCAGAACCTGTCAGAACCTGCTGAATTTCACCTGTTTCCACTCAATCATTCCACGAGGTTGCTGGGATTAAGAAATGTTGATTGGCCCAAATTCGAATAAACTGCCCAAGGGACGTTTCATCTCAGGTCTCCCTTATCCCAGCTCAGGACTATCCGCCATGCCACACCTGTCCTCCATGCCAAAAAATTGTTCTATAAGAACTTGCGGTCGGTTAACTTTGCAACCTTTCCTACATTAAGATCACATACGCACCTGCTGGTTGGTTGAAGAAAATTAGGTAATTTGAAGTGTTGCCTTCAAGAGCTTTCTGGAAGTCAGCAACACTGATGGGGATGGGAGGAAAAAACATAGGAGTAACAAAAGTTAAAGAAGGATGCTTTGAGGCTGGGAGGAGACCCTCTTGTCAGTTTCCCAAAGAATATTTTCAGCACTGAGAAAAAAAAATTTGCATTTTCAGTGCCAGTTTCTTAGCATTTTAAAATCCCCCCAAAATATGCTCCATTTGCTTTTTTTTTTCACAGCTCAAATCAAAGCTCAACTTGAAAAGGCTAAATCATGCATTCAGCTTCCTCAGAATATGGGAGGAAACTCACCTGGAGGTCACTGTGTGAAGAGGAGCCCCAAGAGTTACCTTGAGCTGCTGCCGAAACCCTACATTGAAAAATTGGTATGAGTCACCACCCTTGATTCAAATAATGCTGACCAAACGTTCAGTAGAAGCCTTGGCTATGTGGTAGAGCATGAACTCCATCCCTACCTGTGAAATTAACACTTAGGGGTTAACCCTTTAGGTGTGAAATTACCAGGACACAGCTGAACAATAATAGAGCTTTATTGAGCTTTTGCAAAAGGGACTTCCATGCTCAAATGGCGGAGCCAAGGAGGACATCTTCCATAGAAATACATGATCCTTAACATATTTTTCGCAGTATAAGACACACCTTTTTCCCACAAAAAAGAGGGTGAAAATCTGAGTGTGCCTTATACATTGAATACAGCATTTTTGGCCTACCGAAACCCTGTCGCCTTTGCAAAAATGGCTGTGCAGAGGGTTTGGGAGGCTTGCAAAGTGCTCTTGGGGGCTGGGGACGGCAAAAATGAGCAGAAAACTGGCTGGTTTTACTCATCCCCCCCCCTCCAGCTGCCAGGAGCACTCTACAAACCTCCCAAAGCCCTGTGTGCCCCCCCCTTTTTTTTTGCAAAAAACAAGGCATGCAGAGGGCTTGGGGGGGCCTGCAGAGTGCAAAAACTTTTTTTTTTAATTTACCTCTTCAAAATCATGGTGTGTCTTATACTCCGGTGCGTCTTATAGTCCGAAAAATACGGTATATACATTTTCAGAAGCTCGGCCTTGTTGCTGTCTACTCATCCTATTGGCTAAATTCTGGTTAGGTAAAGTCCCTGTTCCCGTAACTTCCATCCCTTCTGGCATATTCCCCAACCTCTTTAGCAGCTGCAACTATAGTCAGCATTATTACTTTTAGCGTGATAACTAGACAGCTTGACCTGCCAGCTATCTTCTGTGACCAGCCAACTATTTTGTTGTGACCTGCCAACTATCTTTAACCAGAATGTGCAAAACAATCTTGTTATTTTAACTACAGAGAACATTCTTGCGCAATGTGTTACTTAATATTCCAGTAAAGTGTCTTAGGTTACTTGGAGGCTAAATATGGCATTACCATTGCTCTAACTTTTACAGGAATAATTCTTACTTCTCACACTATCAAAATAGCTACTCACGTGTGCCCAGAAAACCTTTTACAGAACTTTCATGGTTTCCATCAAAAAGTAGAACATTTTGGATTTATCAACCATGGCTGCAGAATGTCTGATGACCACTAGATGGCAGCACAAAAACCCTCATATTGTATTTATTAATTCCTGTCGCCAATGTGGAATTATATATTATATTCCCAGTGTGCCCAGAGATAGAAATATCTGTGTTCGTTCCTAGGTAGAGGCAGATATTTCTCTCTCTAGGCACACTGAGAATATATCTGCTGAACATAACTCCGCAATGGCAACAGGAAGGGCATCTGGCCATTAAAACACTCTGCTAGCTCCATTCAGTTGCCCAGACTCAACCCTGCAAGGGATTATGGGGTCGTTAAATGAAGAGGATGATTTGCTGCCCATCTCCTATTGAAACGACTCTAGGTGGCAGCTTTGCTGCCATCAAGTGGTTCTTGCAGCTCACAACTGCTGATCCTACCCTGTATTGGCAAATTCCCACCCATGATTCTCATCTGAATTGCTCCATTGGCCTATTGGCAAATGAAAACACGAACAAATCTATTCTTTCTTTCTAAAATCAGATTGAGGTAAACCTCCCTTCCTCATAATATCTCTTGCACTCCTAGGAACTGGAAAATGACACACCCAGCTATCGATAACCATTTTTTAAAAACCAGCCCATCACTAATGTAGTTCATACTGTCAATACATTGGACATGGTGCCTTAAGATCCCTGGGATCACGAGACCTCAGATACCTAGCAGAAGGGGCTCCTGAGGATTGATGACAGCAGGACTGGGAAGTTCTTCCCGCTTCAAGTAATGCTGCAGGACCAGGTGGAGCCGGGCGCGGTTAAGAGTCTCCATGCAAACTGCCCGCACTGCTTGATAGTTGGCATAGAGGTGGAGGACGGTGAAGAGAGCATAGAAGGCATAGGTGAGGCTGAAGGAAAGAGAAGGAGAATTGAAAAGAAGGTTTCTCATTCCTAATTTTATTTTTTCCCATCTCTCCTCTTCCCCTCCCTCGCCATTCCATTCCTTCAATCTTTGTATTACTTCACAATCAGCCTGGCCTACGTACATACACAGGGAGAGAGAGAGAATGAAAAAAACAGCATTTAACTCACGAAAGATTGTCCGCTACAAGAGGAATCAGGAAAAGGCTGAAGACTAGGCCAGCTAAATTGACTAAGGTCTCCTACATGACGGGAGAAAGATGGGGAAAGGTTAGAAGGAAGTTGGTTTTAGATCTCCACTTGGCCAAGCCAGGGGCCGGGTGTTGCCTCTTTAATTTCGCATCTCACCTGGCTTCCATCTTTGGCTGATACATCCGCCATGTTGTCCCGGCGGGCTTGGTGCATGGTGAGAGCTGCACGGGTGGCCCCTCCGGCTACACCCACAATGCACTGACACCAAGAGAAGACAGAAGGAAACAGAACAGAAGAGAAACACGGTTGAAACTGTCATGGTCTCCACAACCATCCCACCAGATTTGGTCTCCCCATTGCAGAGACCTCAGTCTGCTGCTTTCGCTCCACTTTAATACAAGGTAGTCCTTGACTTACAATAGTTCATTGGAAGACTGTTCAAAGTTACAACAGCACTGAAAAAGATGGCTTGTGACAGTTTTTCACACTTATGATCTCTGGTCACGTAATCAAAATTCGGAAGTTTGGCAACTGGTTCATATTTATGAGGTACAGTGTCCTGGTGTCATCCTCCAATACTACCACCTCTTGCAATACTAGACAGCACAGTATCAACAGTAGAGACCTTCAAATTTCTAGGTTCTATCATATCTCAAGACCTAAAATGGACACCTAACATCAAAAACGTCGTCAAAAAAGCACAATAAAGTACGTTCTTTCTGCGCCAACTCAGGAAGCTCAAACTGCCCAAGGAGCTGCTGATTCTGTTCGACAGAGGGATTGTTGAGTCTGTCATCTGCACCTCCGTAACTGTGTGGTTTGGCTCTGCAACCCAACAAGACAGACGCAGACTTCAACGGATAATCAGAACTGCAGAAAAAACAATTACTGCCAACCTGCCTCCCATTGAGGACCTGTACACTGCACGAGTCAAAAAGAGGGCCGTGAAAGTATTTACAGACCCCTCACATCTTGGACATAAATTGTTTCAACTTCTGCCCTCAAAACAACACTACAGGGCACTGCACACCAGAACAACTAGACACAAAGACGGTTTTTTCCCTGAATGCCATCTCTCTCCTAAACAAATAATTCCCTCACCACTGTCAAATCATTGACTAAGGATGCATTACTATTACTATTAGTCCTCTTATCATTCCTGTCACCCATCTCCTCCCACTTATGATTGCATGATTGTAACTTTGTTGCTTGTATCCTTATGATTTATATTGATATTGTTTCCTGATTGCTCATTTGTACCCTATGACTATCATTGTGTTGTATCTTATGATTCTTGATCAATGTATCTTGTTTTTTTATGTGCACTGAGAGCACATGTACCAAAGACAAGTTCCTTATGTATCCAATCACACTTGGCCAATAAAGAATTCTATCCTATCCTATCCTATCCTATCCTATCCTATCCTATCCTATCCTATCCTATCCCACTCCACTCCACTCCACTTCATTCTATTCTATGTGACTTTCTGACAAGTAGATAGGCAGATTCATTTAGCAACCATGCTATTACATTAACAATTGCGGTGATTTACTATGAACAACTATGACAAGAAAAGTCGTAAAATGAGGCAAACCTAACTTAACAGATGTTTCACTTAGCAACATAAATTTTGGGCTCAGTTGTGGTCGTACGTCGAGGACTACCTTGTACGGCCCTCTCCCCTTTTCTGCACTCTCTTGCTTTTTTACCTTGAAAAAGCCACTAGTGCAGACAATGAGAGTAAAGCATGCTGGGAAAGCTGGTGCCACGATCTCCATGAAGATGGCTACATCGTTGAGCACATCGGCAAAGAGTCTAAAACGGTGGTATTGAAAAAGCCACTCGGTTAAGGTTAGAAATAAATCAGCCCTCCCCAAGCGTACCTTTTGGGTACAATGCCCGGCTGTGATAATGTATGAATGTGTACCTAAGACTGGGCATGAGATCTATTAATTGGAAGTCAAAACTGAAGGAAGGGCCTTATCCCTCTTTACCTCCACTGCTTAGCATCGCAATCCAGTTTGCTCCTGGAAAAAGAGAGAGAAAACAAGCAAGGAAGTAATAGGGTTTAAAGATCAAGTTCAGGTGAGGAACTAGCATCACAGATTCACATCCCTACTTATCTTTCAAACTTCCTGGGCTGATTTAGGCCCATCACTAGCTCTCAACTCACTTCCCAGGATGGAATGGGACAATTCGCTATGGCCAACTCACCAAAGCCAACTCGCCTTGGGGCAATTTAACAGTTCAATGTAATTATTTAAAACAGTGTTTCTCAACCTTGGCAACTTGAAGATGTCCGGACTTCAACTCCCAGAATCAACTCCCAGCGAATGCTGGCTGGGGAATTCTGGGAGTTGAAGTCCGGACATCTTCAAGTTGCCAAGGTTGAGAAACACTGATTTAAAATAAATAAAACATTATCTTAATTTTTGTCATTCACATTTCATTTTGTCCCTTCCTTTGCGTCCTTTCTTTAATTATTCTATTCCACCATTTCTTTGATATTAGTGTAACTTTGTTCCGTAGCAAGTTGTCCCACAGCAAATTAGCCATTATCCTGTGGAGTGTTGGCTGTGGACTGTTGGCTGTGGAGAGTTGGTTGTGGAGAGTTGGTTGTGGTGTGGTAAGGCATCTACTGAGGGGGGATGTGTGATTCATAGATGCCATTTTGAATTCTTAAGGGAAAAAGAAGGCAATAGATGAAACATGAATAGCCCCATCCAAGGTGAGGAGAGAAGGACTCACCCCTTGCTCCAAGCGAAAGCGATTCGGCCCAACATTCCTGTTCCATCTGTCACAGAAGAGACATGGTTTGCATGGCAACTCAGGGTAGAGTAAGAAAATGCAAAAGTAACATGAAGAGACAATTCTGAGAAAGTTTGAGACCGGGGTTAGTAGATCTAGAGGAGAAGAAAGTAGGAGGGGCTTAAACTGAGACCAACATGGCTTCAGGGACTCCAGGCCCAACTGAAATAAGATTCTATGCAAGCAGTTTAATTGTTCATACACCACAGCTTTGTTGTATGCTTGCTCAAACGTAAGGAACAATTATTTGAAGGAATTGAGATCTAATCAGCCATCATTCCCAGCACATTTATTCAACTTTAAATCAACTTTATCAATCAATTAATCATCATGTAAATGGCACAATAACCCCAGAGTTGCTTCAAAAGTGAGAAGGGTGGCAGATAAATTTAATAAATAAATCATTTGTGTTTTATTTGCCTGACAGGCAAATCATGCAATAAGTAGCTTCTGGATTTAACATTCGTGGATGATTAACTATTTACTATTTCAATCATTTTCACCAAATTCAACCTGGATTCACAAGTTGACTGCTTCATAATGAAATAGGAATTTTGATTTAACAATGATGCAAACCAGGCAGTTGTTTGTAAAGCAATATTCAGGGTTTAGTGTTTTGTGTGAACATAGTTGTTTGTAAAGCAATGTTTAGGACTTAGATTAGGTTGGCCTGCTCAAAAGTAAACAAGAATTAAAATAAACCATGATGAATATTGGAGAACCTACTACAGTAATGTTGTGTATCAAGGAAGAAGAGGGATTAATCTGCTACTGTTTGTTGTAGTCCGTCAGAGGCCAGCAGAGCTGGCATCAGAGTCAGACAGTGTGGAGGTTGTGGAGGCACATGGGCCAGTCCTGGAGGCTGGGGAAGGCTAGATGGGGGCTCTGCATCAGAGGCAGAGATGGGGCCAGGGCCATCTGACAGTTCTCGCTTGCCTTCGGAGCTAGACAGCAAAGAGGCAGAGGAACAGCTGGAGCCTGTTCCCAGTGTGCGCATGCACAGAGCTGCCAGAAGAAAAAAACAGCTAAGAAATCAGGGTCGACTTGGGAGTAAAGCCACAGGTGGACAGTGAATGGCCCCTCCCATAGGGAAATAAAAGAGGAGTGAGCGGGCTTTTTCAGGAAACAATTTGTTCACTCATTCGTTTCAGGAGTGTGAAGATCTGTCCGTGAACCTCAGAGACTGTGTGCCAAGTCTTACCTTGCACAGTAGTAC